GCTTGAAATTCACTGGGTTTTGCTCTCAGACAGATGCTCACCCAAGCTCTCTGATGCGCTCCTGTGTCTCCCCTTGGCTCTTTCCGAGGTGGCCGAGGGTCGGTGCCCTTGTCCTCCTGGATATCCTCCAGTCCGGAAAATCCTTGAGGCACACCATCAGCCTCTGGAAAGGGCCCTTCTGTTACTGACACTGTGCTCTTTTGCTGCCTCTGGAGATTTAGCAGAGACTATACAGTCACACACTCAGGCTCATCTCCCTGCCATGCATTTGGCAGTCACTTCTGACTTTTAACATCTCTGCCACCCGAAGAGGCTGGCCGTTTTCCAAAACATCGGGTCCTGATGGCTTATTGCTTATGGGTTCTCCCCTCGATTTGTTCCTCCCCTCTCACGAGCTACTGTAAGCTGCAAGGGATTCTAGGCTATGCCGCCAAAACCCTCTGCAGTAATTTACTTAGTCATGAGGCCAGTGTCGGTCCATTAGCAGGAAACAGTTTCACTGAGCTTTCTGCCACTGCCAAAACAAGGATGCCCTTTCCTCCACTTTCCAAAACCACACTCCTCCGTTCTGTCCCAGACCTCCCCAGCAGCCCTCAGAGTCTAGATTTGTTCTGTCCATCTAAAGCAATGCAGGCATTTTTCTAGCATGCTCCTCAAAATTCCACCAACCTATGACCACGGCCTGATCCCATGTGGCTTCCACATTTTAGGCATTTGTTATAGCATCACCCCACTTTCAGTACCCAAATCTGCAGTAGTTTTCTATTGATGTGTAACAAATAAGCACAAGTTAGCATCCGTTTGTCTCTAGCTTAGTATGTTCCAGAGCAGAAGTCCCTTGTTATACTTTCACGTGAGTCTAATCTTGTAGGGCATGGGAAAGTGGAGTGCTGTATGATCATAGCATGTTTGTACAACATGTAGACAGAAGGTGCAGCAGATAGGACAAAAGCATCAAAATTCCAGTTGAAAAGCACATAAGCCAGTGTTGACACATCTGAGCACTATGAGTGATATGTAAGTGCTACCTATTGTTACCATCATCTTTATCATCATCATCTTTAGAAACAGGGAGCTCTGTCCATTCCTTACGAGTGACAAAGTCATCCACAAGAGAACGTATGAGCTTCAGAGTCAGGCCTTCAATCCTTGCCAGGTACTGTTCAATCACTAAGCATGGGGTTGAGGGTGTGCAAAGAAAGTCAGTTAACCTCCCTGGATCTTTTCTTAATTTGTTTGGGATTAGAATAGATAATCCTTAAACTCTCCTTTAACATCTAAAAGTATAACAAACAAAAAAGCAGAATCAGACCTATACATATAGAGAGCAAACTAATGGTTGCCAGAGGGGAGGGGCTGGCAGGATGAACAAAATGGGTGAAGAAAGCGGGAGATGCAGGTTTTCAGTTATGGACTGATTAAGTCACAGGAATAAAAGGCAGAGCATAAAGAATATAGTCAGTGATATTGTGATAGCGATGTAATGGCACAGAGGGTAGCTACACTTGTGGTGAGCAGAGCATCGTGGATAAACTTGTCAAATCACTAAGTTGTCCACCCGAAACTAATGTAACATAGGGTGTCAACTCTATTCAAAAAATACATCATATGGTCCCAACATGAGACCTTTTGACAGATATTAGAATATTGTTGAATATACTATAAGCACACCTCAACACTGCACTGGAGATACTACCCAATAAATGTTAAGAACCAAAAAAAATAAATCAAGGAACCAAGAAAAGCATCAAAATCATTTCTTATTATTTGAGTGAGACAAAGCTGGTCATTGATTTCACACTGGTAATTCTTACTCCATATGCGTGCGGATGTGTATGGAGTAAGATTAGAGAACTATATATTATTAATATTACACATGCAGTATATAATTAAAAGTAAGAGTATATTTCATATAAACTATATATATGCATATATCATATAGATGATTGACAGAATGAAGATACATATTATATATATATATATATATACCTATCATCATCAAGAAAACAAAATGTAATGCAAAATACTCCACCAATATTGAATAAAACAATACCATTTGGCAGAACTTGAAACTCCCTAACTAGTGTTCCTTTATTTCCTCATTAAAGTCCTTAAAAAGACCTAAGCCACTCATTTCTTAGTAGTAGCACTGATTGACGTTCATTTCTTATGGTTTTGAAACTTTCATCTCCTATTTGGAATACTTTGATTTCAATACAGAAAGACTTGGTCCACACCCACATACTTCATCACACAATGACTTTGATCTTTGGCATATAATGGTGGACTTCCAACCAGTTTTAGCCAAAAATAAAGCAAGAAAAAGACTATCAAGACGCTGCATAGGTAACATGACACAGAGGATAAATTTGTTCTAATCGAAGCTTGTTGTAAAATGTATGAGATGATCACAGAGAATGCTATAATACCCGTCCCTTACATGAGAATGATAAGCCATTCTCTGTGCAGGAACTTAAAGAATAGGGTGCTTCCCTTCTACGGAGGAAGAATGCCATGCGTTTCCAGATTCAACACTGAAAAGTCCACCCACTTGAGGGACTTCTGGAGATCATTTATGTACATGCACGAAAACTCTTTCAGCTCAAATAGAAATACTTCTAATGGCATATGCACAGTATGATATAATTCACCATTTCTTGTACAAGCAGAATTTTAGACTCCTAGAACTCAGTCAAGGTTAGAGTTGAATGGAACCTCTGAAGTTTAGCAGTCCATTCCCTACGAAACACAGATATTTTCCTACACCATTCATGCCACATGATGATCTGTTTTCAAACTGACCACCATCCAGCCAGAGCCTGTATCCTCAACGGCAATCCATTCAGTTTGGGAAAATCACACATCTTTTTTTTTTTTTTTTTTTTTTTTTACAAATTTTTAATGTTTTATTCATTTTTGAGAGAGAGATAGAGACAGCGTGAACAGAGGAGGGCCAGAGAGAGAGGGAGACACAGAATCTGAAACAGGCTCCAGGCTCCGAGCTAGCCGCCAGCACAGAGCCCGATGCGGGGCTCGAACCCACAAACTGTGAGATCATGACCTGAGCTGAAGTTGGAAGCCTAACTGACTGAGCCACCCAGGCGCCCCGGGAAAATCACACATCTTGTGAGCCACAGGGTTTTCCTAAATTTCACTCAAATATTTCCCTACTGCTTAACAAACAAATCTCACCTTTCAGACATCAATCCATATCACCAACATAAGTCTAAGGCAGTCACCACATTTTGAACAAAACAACAGCAAAATCTCTAAGATAAACGATGCCGCTTCTCCTTTGACTTTGTCTCATGATTCTAGCTGCTCGTGCAACTCAGCGAGTCACCTCCCTTGGATGATTCTCCTCACCAACAACACCCAGAACAGAACAGACACTGCAACCCACAGTGGGACCAGCGCGCTCTCCGTGAGCCTACCTTCTTTGAGTTGTTTACCCACCTTAGCTTCACAGAGGCTCATTCAGCAGAAGATAGTGTTTGTCAATTATTAAAAACAACACAAGCATTGGCTCATAGTGAGTTTGAATGAAATAAAACCTTAGGAAGTGCCGGGAGGCAAGGTTCTTCCCTGCTCTTGTTGTTTTAGTTGATATTTGAAACCTAAGGATATATTTTGTTTTTTCATTTTTATCCCCGTTGCATTGTACGGTACAGTTTTGAGAAAAATAGAAGATTTTTGTGATATTTTAAAAACTGATTTTATTATGTAACATATTAGCTACTTACGTGTATCATCTATGTTAAATATGAGTTCTCAACATATTATCACCCAGGATTGACAAGAATATCGAATACGTGCCTTTAACCCCCCACCAAAGGCAAAAGCTCTTGGTGACGGTGGAGCAGTCAGCAAGGACGCCAAATATGCTATCTTGTGGTCTGACTGTCTTCCTACTCTAAGCAAGAAAATGACAAGATTTTTTCTTTTTTGGCTCAATGTCCTGCTGAAATAAAGACTCACTACCTCTAACATTTTGATCAACTATTGAAATGAGGACGTGATAGCGATGCACTATTTATGTCTGTGATAATCCCAGGAGAAAGAATACTCCCCATGACAGAATCAAGAGTGACAAAGACTCTTGCTAAGTAGCAAAGACGTTTGCTACTTCCAAGGTCCGAGAATTCTCCAACTGGGTAATAGACAGGAAGCTCAAGCCAAACCTATTCACTCTATGAAAGAATTATCTGATATATTTCATATTTATGACTTGAAAAATATGGGATGTTGTGCCTATCACTGAGAAATTCTGGCAATTTCAAAAGTATTTTTTTTTTCTATTTAAAAAATACATAGATTCCATTACAGGGTGCTGATTTCTTAAAGCCGAGTTTTTCAGGATGATTTTTTTTCATTTGTATAAATGTATTAAACATGAATTATTCAGGGTTTCTGAAGAACATTCCAAATATATCTATTAATATGACTCATTATTTGTTAGAACCTAATTTCCTAAAATTGCTGTGCTTTGCACATAACTCTGGATATCACCCATTGTGCCGTTTTAAATATTTTCTGAAACTTTTTCTATTTACTCTCCTCCCAGGCAATTCTCTCTCTTTGCCTACTTTAATTGGAACTCGGTCGTCTCAGACCTATTTGCAATAAATGGGACTTCAAGAGAAGCTTACTAAAGAGAACCCACCAAAGAGTTTTACGCAGGGTTTTAAGATTTAAACTCAAACTTCATCAGAAGCTGCTGACGTTCCCTACAGCAGCTTTGTAAGAGCTAAACCAAAGACAAACAAAATCACCATTTCCCAGCCTTGTCTTAACCGAGGCTATGATGCATATGCTGAAATAAATAATCAGAATGTAATATGTTAACTCTCTCCTATCCTGGATCACAACGTAGGAAAGGGAATCCCAGTGATTTTAACAACTGTGCTCACACTGCATGGACAAAACACCATTAGCACCTTACGAGGCTTGCATCATATGACATATGTGAAGGACAAAGGGTCCAGGGCAGAGAATCTTACGTTCTTGGAAGGATGTGAAGAGCATCTGAAATCTGCTATTTCGACTGCCCTCGTCCGCCCACATGCGGATGACCCCAAGACCTGTGCGGAGCATGACGTCATTGGCCACGGTGCTGCAGAACTTAGCCTTCAGGTCCCCCACAGAACTGCTGCCGTCATACACGGCCACGAAGTTCCTTTTGCATTCGTTTGAATTCTGCATCTCATAGTCCAAGAAACGTAGGTAGATCTGTAAAATAACAACAAAGATGCAGTAATTTCCTCAGATCAAAACATGAAAGTAGTTCTGTGAGGACCAGCCTCTCTCTTTAGTCTCACAAGACAGTCTCGATTACAATCAATCTTAGGATTTTTTTCCTCCATCTCCTCCCGGGGATGGAGGAAATAAAGATGTACGACTAGGATCAAACTGTGTTTCATATTTTTTTCCAAATGTTATTTTCCTTTCTTTATGGACATAAATGTAGGATAATAAATACCTTGAATTAATATTAAAGGAAAATAAATGATATCAAAAGACAGTCAATGACTTCACTTTATTTAAATCATTTCACATAACCACATTGCTTCATTTTTTATGTAGAGTATGTTAAATAAAATAAGATGAAATAAAATGAAATAAAAAGAGAGCTAATCTATGATTATTTTCACCACAACATAGAGTCAAGCCATTTAGTTAAGTCCACATAAATAAAAATTAAATTCACATTGAATACGTAAAAATGTCCCAGGCAACCTACACTGTAGATTATTTTTAAATACTCCCAACTACTCTATAAAGTTTTATTGTACTGTTCAGATGATGAAAACAAGACTCAACTGGTGTAAGGCCACAAGTCTAAACGTCTAAACCGAACTGACTCCATGACAGGCTTTAAGTTTTCCCTCTGAACTAGAAGGCCTGAGTTTCAGCTTCCCCGAAACTATCAGGCAGTCACACATTGCCCGAGGCAGGAGAAACCACCCTTGCAGCACCCACTCAGGAAAGGCCAGCGACCACCCTCCACATTGTTAAGGGAGAGGCCTGGAGATAGAAACTATCGATAGGACCCTGTTACCTAATGTTAAAGTTAACCCGTTAGTCCCCGAACAAGACCCTAGGCTCGCTCTGCGATTGGTTGAATTTAAAGGTACTCTAAACGTTGTAATTGGATCCCGCCAAAAGTAACGAATACTCTAGACAATGTGTATGGTCAAACCCGCCATCAATGATGTTGTATAATTATGACTGGATCACTGTTCCCATGCCACACCTTCTGTAACTCCCCCGTCTCAAACCCCATAAAAACCCTACTCTGCTCTTGTTCGGGGCTCTCAGCACGGATCCACGGTGCTGGTGAAGTCTGTGAGCCCCAGCTCGAGCCCGTAATAAAGCCCTTTGCCTTTGCATGTGTGACTCGGTCTCCCTGGTGGTCTCTGGCTGGTGAGGATACTGCGATCTGGGTATAACACTGGTATAAACTGGAAATCATACAGGGTCTGTCTAACTTCCCAGGCTATGACCCTTCCACAATGTAACACTGCTGCAGATTATGCTGTTTTATGATCAACAGATATTATTTGACTCTGTTCCAGTGTACATTTACAAATCACAAGCAATTAATTTAGCCAAAGATAAGTTTGAAAAGAAGTCATCTGTCCATTCAAGCCTCGGTTTAACATTATGTACACCCTGGCCTTTGACTTTGTTCCAGACACTATTCAAGGCACTGAGGCACAACAGTAAATGAAAGAATGAGGCCCAGGGTTGAAAATAGATGTCCATTAAGCCATGACCCATGGACGCAATATCACAGCCAAAGAAGTGATATAAAGAAAAAAAAATCTGCGCACTATGTAATAGTTCTGAAATACAGAAGGCATCCTTCACAAATATCTACTAAGTGTTTATGGTTTGCATTTTCTAACAAGTGTTTTATGTTTTGATATTTCCTCTTACACACCCTTCTTTTACTAATGTGATATGGATATAAACTAAAGACTCACATTCACCTAGAAATCCATCTCTTCTTCCATCTCTATATTCATTTCTGCTTATTTATTCATGAACTATGAGCCCCATAACACAAACATTTCTCAGATTCAGTATATCTGTCCTAAATGTTAAAGTTTCAATGTTTCAAATTAAAATAAAATTTCTCTTTTGTCCTCAGTGTTCTTTCTACATCGGGCCCTGATCTTCACTAATTTCATCTTCAGAACGATTGTTTTCCATCTCTGCTGACATGTCTATGATATTTCAGCAGTCTCCTGCCTGGCTTGGATATGTCCCAGGTTCTCAATTTCCAGTCCATTCCAAAAGCCCAGCCCAGTCAAAGTTGTATTCCTAAGAAAAAAATTTACTAATCACACTGCAATCTTTAACTGATTTCCAAGTGATTATAATTTTTTTTAAAAAGCTTAAAAAATCAAGAACTGGCAAATTCTTCCTCTTATGTCTGAACATTTCATGCTTATTTTACAAAGTGCCATCCTTTATACACGTGACATTAGTTACACAAAAGTAACCCTTCCCTGTTTTCTGCCTACCAGCTCTTCCCGATTTTTTTGTTACACGCCAGTGCCAATATCCACTATCCCCACTCTCTAGCCACAGCAGAATTATTTTGAACATATTTGGAATGTATTTAAGCCTTAGTTACTTGCTCTATGAAACTTTTACCAAACCACATATTCCTAAAAAGCTGGGGCAATGGCGTACATCTTTGTACTCAAAATGTTGAACCATGTGCTGTGTATACGAGGCACTCCATCAAAGTCTGTGACGGGATGCACCTGTGAATGACTGACTGATTGGAGAGTCCTATATTGTTACTGATTTCATTTGTTCAGTACCTGGCAACTACTGATCAGGTCCCTATGTGCCAGACTGTTTAAGTGCTGTAAGTAATAATTATATAGACTAATTGGCTTTTTATTACTTGCAGTAGGAATCATATGCAAAAATTCCCCAAACAAGGTATTTCCAAAGTAACTCTGAACCGTCAGAAAACCACAAGACAGTTGTTACAGACTCATGAGGGAGAACTAACTGAAAATAAAATGTGAGTCCCAAATCCAGAAATACTCCTATATATTTGAGGAAGAACAACAGAGAAATAGGGCGAAATGGACAAAAATTGAGAAAGAGTGGAAAACACTAGAGTTTTCTTATCCTTTGCTTGGTGAGGTTTGCATATCCAGGCAGTCTGTAACATTTCAGTTGGAGCTAGTCTAAAATTTCCAAACACTTTGATGTTGGCGTTAACTGCCATTACTACAAACATAAATATATGCCCTAAAAAAGTCTGCATGTTCCTTATTCCCAGGTTACGTCTTATTTTATTTTATTTTATCAGAAGCTCAGCTATTACTCACATAACCCATCTGGGATTCACTTTTCCCGACTAAATATTATGTTCCTGAAAACTATCCAAGAAATTCCAAAATGTCTCCTTGAAGAAGGCATCTGTGAAAGTGTTAAACCTTCCAAGGCTTTACTGACTGCTTTGTTTTTCGAGTTTTCTCATGGATTTATAAAGAGGTATTGGGGGGTCTTTCATGTGACCTTTACCATGAAGCTGGAGCCAAGGAAACAAAAAAAAAAAAAAAAAAAAAAAACCCAAAAAGCTGGCTCAAGGGATATAAGCAAATCAATGTGGGAAACTTAAACAGGAATAAAATACCCACCTCTTGTTTTATAGCTCTTTTCACTACATTTCATCACCCATCCTGACTAAAAGAAAATAAACGGAAAGCACTATAAGATACAAATACCTATAAAATCTAGGTATCTTTTCTTGTAAGGTAATAAACTTGCTACATGCGATAAAAAATCAAATCTGTATTTATATTCTCAAATACCATACATTCAATCCAACATAGTTTATTAGCCCTCAAAAGAATATGCAATGAGAGTCGTAAAAATACATAGTTACTCATAGGAGAAAACACTGAGTGGGCAGGTGAAAAGACCCTTTGGAGTGAAATGTAAAGTAACCCCTCCCTCCAGTGTCCTTCCAAAGCTATAAAAACCAAACAGTATGCCCACAGAAAGAGAAAGAATCATTTGACTAATTTAAGAAAGAAAGATATTTCAAAGGCTGATGTTTCCAGGTTGAGTGAGTCAATGGCCTAATATGCCTGAACAATTATTTTGAGTATCTTTCTTACACTGCATGTAGAAGCCAGGCTTAAAATTCTAATTTATTATTTGCATCCTATACTGGCAATAACCTAGATACTGTTATGCTAACGCATGATTTCACTCAGATCTCTCAATAACAATATACACTTGTTACAGCCCTTTTAAAATAAAAAGCTGAGGTGGGGGGGGGTGCGGGGGAGAAGCTAAGTAACTTTCTTAAAGTGACCCCAGGCCCTTAGGTAACACATCGGCATTAAACTCAGATCCACCTCACATTTGCTACTTCCTACCTTACTGCACAGACTCCTATATTTTTTTTAATTATCACAGATTTATATTCCAGAAAGGAAGTTATAATAGTTAAAGAAAGCAAACTGCAACAAACTGAATAAATGAGCAAGCAAAGCCAGACCATTTCCATTCTCCTACAGGGGCTAGGAAACATGTTGGCAAATCCAGATAAAAATGAGATCCACAGAAAGCAAATGGATCCCTCTGAAATAAATGGCTGTCGTAAGTTTTCTCAAAAAGATAGAAAGGCATGTTCTGGTTAGGGAGGCAATTTGCATATTCAGCCCATGGTTTCTCCTTTGACAGCTCTAGAAAGTGTCCACATTTTCCACATGAGGTGACTGGTCTGTATTCTTACCTGAAGCAAAATGACAGAAATCTAAGCCCCTTTTTATATTTAAATGCCATTCTTAGTAGACAGTACTATTTATAGAGGAAGTGAACAATTAGTCACTGGATTTTATATATTCCCTTCTGAAGCATTCAATTATTTTTTAACTTCATTTTTCTTATTCATTTAAGAAAAGAAATAAAATATGCCAGTGAATATTACCTTTACTGGATGCATAGCTGTTGAGGAGAAAGTCAGTATCATTAGCCAGAAAAGTGACCAAGCTTCTCCACACTAGCTCTAGGATACATCATATCAAAGCCTTCCTTATATTATCACTTAAGTGATAACTTGTCAGCCTAAGGTGTGTGTCATAAGATCACCAAGGGAAAGAATGTCACACGACATGGTTTTTATATAAGGTAGAAAACTACAGAAAGTTCTCTAGGCTCTCTGCTGAGAAAAAGGGGAAATGATAAAC